GCATTAGAGCAAAAAAGAGAGAAAAAAAAACCGGTACCGGAACCGGCACCGGTACCGGCGGTACCGTTTCCGGTGACGGTACCGAACCGGTACCGTGTCCAGCCCTAGGTTTCATAAGTATGGTTCATTTGTCTTTCAACTAAGATTAATACTCCCTACAATTGGAAAAACACTTCCCATTTGGATGGGTAAAAGTAAGATGTGATGGATAGATTATTAGAGAAAAAGTATGATGTGATAGGTAGGGTATGAAAAAGTAAGGGTAAAAGTGGGTTTTTAATAGAAAAGGGAAGTGTTTTGTTGGAAGTGGAAAAAATGGAAGAGGAAGTGTTTTTGAGAACAGATGGAGTAAAAGGTATTTGTTCATTTGTATCCTTGTTTTTTTACATTGATTAGTGACATACAACTGAAAATAAAAATGAAAAATTATATATGATTGATATCAATTTTAAAAAGTAAATAAACAAAGTAAATAAAGGGTGTTGTCACAATTTGAGATAATAAAAAAAGTAGAGTAATGTTGGTCTTATGTTGGATCATCGATCACCCTAAGAGATTCAGTACTGTGCTTGTCACGGTATCGGGTATTGACAGCTACACTTGATGAGGTACATGAGTCGTGTATCTTGGGAAGCCCCTCTTGTCCATCAACCGCTCAGTAGTGAGGCTTCGCATTGCTGTATTGAACGGTAGAGGGTGTCCTATAGGAATCTACCTCGGCTTGGAGCTACAGAGGGATGTGGTTAAATATAAAGTGTCCACTATCCTATCACCAATTGGTTTTAAGAAGCATTTGGCACTTCTTCAACTTCCGGAGTTTGTAGTTAAGCGTGCTGGAACGGGAATAGTCTTAGGATGGGTGACCCACTGGGAAGTTCTAAAAATGATCTACAAGTACAAAGTAGAGAGCGAGTTACGATGTCACTACTTTTTATTTTGTTAAACTATTTCCAATTTTTTAACTCCTTTCAGTTTATTCTAACTATTCCTACCTTATTCTAATTTTTTCTAGTTTATTTCAATTCCTTCAATTTTTTTAATATCTAACTTTGTTTTTACAACTCAAACGAACAAAGCATGCTTATGCTAATGTTGAAATGAATTGAATTGGAAGTAAATAAATAGCCAGTATTTGGGAGTGATCTTTTTTGTAGAATAGATTAAGGCTCCGTTCCCTTCAACTTATTTTTTCTGATCTAATCTGATTCTAATAAGTTCTGATCTGATCTGGTCTGATATGATCTGATCTGATCTGATCTGGTCTGATCTGATCTGATCTGATAAGATGTGATTGGATCTGATCTGATTGAATCTGATTTGATTTGATTGGATCTGATCTGATCTGATCTGAATAATTATGATTTAATTTAAAATTTCAAATCAATAATTTAATTTGACTTTATAATAACGTTTGAAAATTGTAATGATAATTCATAATATAATATAATCAATATTTTTTATTTAATGATTATTTTTTAATAAAAGAAAAATAGTTAATTCATATATTAGAATAAACATTCATATTATAATGTAATAAGTTTTTTATTTTATGATTATTTTTTTGTAAAATTAGAATTATACATTAGAATAAATATTTAATTTAGATATATATTAAAAAGTAATTAAATTTAGATAATCAATATATAGAAGAGATAGTATTTTTATTAAAATATCTCATCCTTATAAAAGATCAAAAATTTAGAAACTCAAATTACAAGTAACAATAAAAATATATTTTAGAAGTAGAATTAGATTGACATTATCAATGTATTTTAAAACTAATTTTTCCGAAGTCTAATAATTAAGGATTACTTTCTCTGTTTTCTATTTAACCTATTTCTAAAGTTTATTCTTTTTCATTTTTAAGAATAATATTAATAATTAATAATAATAATAATAATAATAATAATAATAATAATAATAATGGTAATAATAATAATAATAATAATAATAATAATAATAATAATAATAATAATAACTCTTGATGGGATCTGATTTTAATAAGTCCTAATCTGATCTGATCTGATTGGATATGATCTGATCTGATTGGATCTGATCTGATTTGATTGGATCTGAACTGATCTGATCTGATTCAATCTGATCTGATTCGATCTGATCTGATCTGGTCTGATTTGATCTGATCTGATTTTAATAAGAATAAAAAAAATAAGAAAAAAATAAGTTGAACGGAACGGGGTCTAACTCCTGAAATGCTTATCATAGCTTTGCCGTGCTTTACAGGTCTTTCGTACTCTTGTGTCGGATTTAGTCGAAATTAATGAGTAGAAAATTACAATTGAATAAAGATATTAAAAGTTTTTACATACTTTGTAGTTCAATTTGACTTTGAAAAATTAGAATCAGATATAGATATATCCGATATCTCGCGGATGGGAATACAATTTTATTTTTAGCATTCATCAAAGATTCGTATCCAAATTTGATATTTGAAAAATTAGATTTAGGCAGATTTCATGATGGTTTGATGTTCTTTTAAAGATCTAATAAACACAATTTTAAAATTTCAATACACTACTTGTATAAAAAAAATAGCCCGAGTACTTATTAAATATGAATTGAAACAAATAGTGCCACACAAAAAAGTAATAAAGAGAAAATTTGAACTAATAAATTAAGCGTAAATTGTTTTTTTCTTATAAAAAACATAGAATTAAAAAAAATTGGTTGGTTCCAAAAGTTTCCAAGTTTGATTAGATTTCCCCAATTGTACTGCTTATAGGTTTTCAACTACATGTATCCAATCTATCTTAAATTATTGAATAGTTAAATGAAAATTAGGATTATTATGCATCACAGTGAAAGGTGGGATTATTTTTGAAAGACCGGGTAAAGTTGAGATTATTTAGGGTAATTTTTCCTTAATAAAATAATGAGATTGATGAAAAAACTAAGTAAATTAATGCAGTAATAATCATCGATGTATGAAGAGTAACAAGAATTACGGTGCACATATGAATATCGGAATCCAAATTAAAATAGGAATATATATATATATATATATATATATATATATATATATATATATATATATATACTATTCATACCCCTACTTTCATATATATGTAGGTACTGCAAAAAAAGGGATGAATATACACATGACAAGGTGGAAGGAATAATGTTCAGTAATGATGGACATTTAGTTGAATAATGACTACTTGTTAATGACCAAAAGTCCTACATTGGAAAATAAAAACATATGATCCTATATTGGAAAAGTCATTATGTTTTAGTCCTATTTAGGTAAATTTCTCAAATTAAAATACTACTCCTAGTCTACTACTTCTTCTTCTTCTAATAATAATAAAAATATATAATAATAATAAATATCATGATGATGATGAGTAGTGCAAATCGAGGCTAAGTATTCTTCTTCAGTAACATTTTAATCAATGTAGTAACAACGGAGAAAGCGGCTTGGAAGAACATCAGGCCCGTGCAGAGGTAAAGCTCAGGCCCGTGCAGAGGTAAAGCTCGGTGTAGTAATCCTCCACAAAGTTATCCAAGTTTTGATTTTCATTGAGGAGAAACAGCTCCCTTTCAGTGCAATCCAAGTGCACATTCACATTTGAATCTTCATCTTCACCAGGAAGCCTATTCCCTCCCAACCTTCTCAAACCCGCAGCACTCTTATACCTCAGGAAAGCCTCCCTTAACCTGTTATTGCGGCGAAAAATGATCGAGGTTTTTTTTCTATGACTCTTAACCGACCGCGGCATGTGAGCACCACATTGTAAAATGTGAACATAAAGCCAGACATCACTAGAGCATAGAAAATGGGAGGCCATTGAGAGAATGAAAAATGTGACTCGTCTGCAACAATCCCCGCGAGCACGACCAAGAGGGCTGGAATTGTGACCCTTATAAGTTGCATGACATCATTCGCTCGCCGCACAAGGTCGTTGTGCTGCTGCTTTAGATGGTACTGCTTGGCTTCGTAGCGGCTTAAGAGTATTAATAAATACTCCCTCCGTCCCATGAAACATGAGAGTTTTGTTTTTAAGGAAGGATTTAAGGGGAGTGTATTTTGGTATTGAATTTCCAAAAATGTTCTTTGATGTGATGGGTAAAAGTATGATTTAATGGATAAATTATTAGTAAAAAGGTATGATGTGATAGTTAAAGTATGAAAAAGTAAGGGGTAAGTGACGGATAAAAAAAGAAAGGAGAAAGGTTTTTAAAAAAACAAAACTCTCATGTTTTATGGGACGGAGTGATTAAAAAAGAACTTTCACTACGAAGGGAACCTCTCGGACGACTTTGGCCGCCGCCGCCGGCCTCGTTGTCCCTTGAACTTGCTGCAAGGGATTGCTGGAGCACCTCATTTTCTTGGTACAACGTTTCAAGAGCCTCCCACAAGCCGGGCATCTGGACGTTGGTGTGGGGATCCGGAGGAGCCGAAGAAGACGAAGAAGCCGCCCCAACGCCACCTCCGTCGTCCCCTAAAAGGGCGGCGGCATTCTCCATGCCCGCGGTGCTCGCAGACGACGAGCCTCTTTGCAGAAACTCCATCTCGGAGGGGGAGAAGCGAGGAGCAAAACCAGAGGCAGCACCCCGAGAACCTGACGACGACCTAGCTAGGGAGAGCCTCAACCTTCGATTCTCTTCCACGGCCTGGGTGAACTCCTCCCACTCTGAAGGGAGAGGGAGGGAGGGGGGAAGAAACTAAATCAGATTAGACTAGATCAGAAACAACTACAATCAGATCAGACCATGTGAAAACTCATTCCAGACAAATCAGATCCAATAGAGAAACAAGGCCATAGTTCATATTAAATCCAAGGCAAATCGGGGGGGGGGGGGGGGGG